ATGACGACTTATGCGAATTGAGAGCTTAGATGATGACGACTTATGCGAGTTTTACTGTATAATAATTAGATATACACCAAAAGACCATCAGACATCAATACAATAGTCAATACATGTGTATTCCTGATAGTCTCACAAACTGGTCAGGCCACTGACAGCAGGATCAAGTCCCCCCCCCCCCAACCTCACGCTACGGCTACAGCACATCAATATATGGTGTTCAACTCGCCACTGAACTTGATCAAACTCACTGTTTTCAATCAGCTCTGGTGTTCCTGCAGGTGTAGCTCTAGGACTATAGCCCGCGTTATAGTCCTAGACTCCTAGAGCTAAGTACTGCAAGTGATGCTACTTTTTAACAATGTTGGAATCACTGACTGCTTAACCAACTACACAAGCCTTTTTGCTACTTGGCCAGCCAAAATGCACTCAAATAACAAAGATTACTCAAATGACAGTGCAAACCAACCTTTCCTGAGCAGAGGCAGCACGAGTGGTTTGATCCTGCTCCCAATGGGGCTGAGAGGGTCTATGTCCCCCGGGGTACTGCCGGAAGGTACCCTGGGTACGGTCCGATATACCGAAACGTACCCTGGTACTATCTAATATGCCGGACCGTACCTCGCCAACTCCACTAACGAGTCTAGGGAGTCGCCTACGCCTACTCCCTAACCCTATCCCTAACCTTAACCATATCAAATAGTGACCAGGGTACGTTCCGCGTGTATACCGGACCGTACCAGGGTACGTTCCGGTTACCGGACCGTACCCAGGGTACGTTCCGGCAGTACCCTGGGGGACATAGACCCTATGAGCCCCAGTGGGTCGGGTTAGACCGCACAGACCATCGGAAAGCTTCCCAAGTTTCAACCCATCCATTTCGAAGTATTCCCAAGCCTAGCTCTAGTCGTACCATTATAATTTACAGACAAGCAGTGCTGTGGCAACAAGGCCAAGGGCTAGCCTAGGCTCCTAATACTAATAGTAGTAGTACTACTACGTACTAGTACTAGCTCTACTACTAGTACTAGCCTCTAGTAGTAGTACTACAGCCCGCGTACAGTTGCCGCAGGCCCCCCGCTTGCGGCAACTGTACGCGGGCTATAGTACTAGAGTTATACTATTTACTACTACTTGTACTAACTACTATACTAGTACTAGTAGTAGTAGTACTAGTAGTATTACTATTAGTAGAGCTGTCCCAAGCCAGTCTTTTTTATTTTACTTACCAGCAGTACAATCTTCGCCACAGTTGCACTTCTTATTCTCAACACTTGTGTTATTGTAGCAGTCACAGAACGCTTCCCCTTTCACTGGTAATGCTGAGGCATAGCTCACACAGTCCTCGTCAGGTTCAGCTATTTGTGTGTCAGTGCCACTATTATTAATACTATTACTAGTATTACTATTAGTATTACTAATACTATTAGTATTACTAGTATTAGTATTACTAGTCGTAGACGAACCACGTCTGTTCCTAACTATATAATGCTGCGACGTTATATAGCGACGACGCCTGCGCCGTGCTTCATATATATTTATTGGTACTTTGTCTTGCGATTCCATTGCTACGTTATCTGTTACATTATTAGCATATTGTTTTACCGACTGAAACAAACGGAAACAAACAAACTCGGACGTCAAAAATCGAGGCCAAAGTAGCCTACCGCCTTGGCCCACCGTAAGGTGTCGCCTTTATTCCTTTCCGTACGCGCAGAAAAGAGTAGCGGATTCGTCCGGGCGTTGCTAAGCGTAAAACCATGCGCCCGACAGTACATCTTCATTATAAAAGAGGAGAGACCGATTTTCTGACGCGGTAATCTTTGCCGCGGTGAGCATCAAGCCCACACCACCGATCTCAGTGTATAGCCCGTGTGTCGGACACCAACATAGGCTTATCCATATTTGTCAAATTTACCCATATTTGTAGATATAATGATGATAACATATAAAATAGGCTTTAATACGGGCGATAATTTTAGCAGAAGCCAAAACTTTGTTAATACCAGGTAAATTAAACTATGCCAAATTTATACTTTTTTTTATTATGCACTCAGTTGTTAATTGAGTCTCAAAAGCAGCACAACACACACTTTTAGTAGTTAATTTTCGTTCATTTGTATTTTAAAAATTGTAATTTGTCTGTGTATACATTCGGATATAATGCATAACATGGTATAAAGAATTAAGTTTGTTAAAATCATGTGCTATTCATCGTTTTGATAATGTCATCTATGGTGACTTCACTGGTGCAGAACTCTGCCCAATTGACCAACTAATTTGGTTAAAATGAGGTGATATAATATCCATATAGGCCTACCGTTTGGAGAAATATTTACTTTTTAAAATCTGCTCATTATTTTACGATGAAAGTGACCTTAAAATGATACCGTGCTATATTGACGGGTTTAGTTTATTGACCTATGTATTTAGTTTAGTTTAGTTTTCATGTACTATTTTGATGTAACGCGAATCCCAATGATAAGAGAGACACGTGACAGATGTCACCAATTGTGTGACGAGACGAGGCTTGCAAAGCCAGAGAGGCATATTCATAATAACTTGGCGCAATTTCATAACAATGTTGTATATCCAGAAGGTTTGACTACACAGAATCATAGAATCGTTTGAACTGTTTTTGTCAGAATATTGCATATTGTTTGTTTTTCTGTTACGAATCTATCCTTAGAATTAAGTAAAAAAAGTTATAAAAAGGTAAACCGAGCCACCCGCTACCCTAGAGTGTCGGCTGAGAATTAGCCGTGCGTGAATACAATGCTGGTGGGAGGGTGATTACTATCTTCTATCAATCCCGGAATCTCTACCCGTAGATTGAGTCCGTGTAGCTGGATAGTGGTCATAGTGTTTAGATTGTGAATCCAGTACGCTTCTCTTTATTTTCTGAAGGGGATCGTATGGGTGAAGGGGGAAGGGTGAAAATATTTTAGAATTAAGTAAGTACATGTGGCTGAATTTGCTCCTACGCGGTTTTCCCCGAGCAACGCCGGGTACCAGGCTAGTGTATTTGTAATTAAGTCGGTCAGTTGCAGGGGCGGATCCAGGGCTGAAGCTAGACAGTATTTTTCCAGATTTTAAGGGCACACCACCTCACAGTGGGCGCCGTTAGGCGCGGAAGCACACGGCGGGGGGTCTGGGGGGCCTACCCCAGTAGATTTCAGAATTTCAAGGGTCCCTGGGCACAAAAATGAGCATCATTTCATTTTGAGCACACATTTAGTCAAGCAGCGATAGTTAAAAACCATATGGAATTTTATTTCTGCTTCATTTTGCCTGCGCTTTGCATACCAGCAATTAATGCAGAAATGATTTCAAGCACTTTCCTTCTTTTTTCCAGATATCAAAGCTAGTTTTTTGTGTACGTACATGTTAAAATTTTGATTTCGCTATCAAGTCTGTCATGCATCAGAAAGAAAAAGAAACGATATAAAGAATATAGGCAAATTCCCATCAATTGTTTCTGTATTTTTTAGCGCATAAATTTCGAAGGGACTTTGAAGATCTAGACGTATTTCCCAATACGGCAAATCGGTCTGAATGCGCGCCCCTGAGTTGCATGGTCAAGTGTAATGTACTCGCGGAATTTTTTGAGCTCGCGTAGCACACGCACAAGAGAAGGGTGATTTTCACTCCGTCAGATTTAGTATGTGGTAGTAATACCAGACCCACAACACCACAAAAGCACGATAAAGCACAAATTTCACGCCTGGGTTTCACGCCCCATGACTGAAACAATAACATAATAGCGAAAGGGAGAAACTTTCCTACGGTTTGAAGAATTAAACCACGTGTGATACACGCGCGCGCGTACGCGTGTGCGTGTATGACTGTGCGTGGAGGGGGGGGAGACTTAGGAGGCAACGCACTGGTTCTCACATGGCCATGGCTCATGTACCAATGTGTTATATACTATGTGCTGTGTGTTGGGAAACATCTCAGTACGTTATCTCTCAGGGAATGCTATTCGGGAGATCTTATGTGCTTAAAAAAGTAAGGTGTCGGCCATCAGTAGATATGCATTGCAAATCCTAATTTCAAATGTTATTTTGGAAAGCATCACCTTGCTATTTAGATGGTCCTATACAAATGCATACGGTTTTAGGGTGCAAGCTTCTCGGCGCATTACTCTAGTGGCCTTGGGATGGCCGCAACTGGATTTTCACACGTGCTATGGCGTGTATAATTTGTTTGATTTTTGATCAGTTTTCGCTCCTACCGTGAAGGCAGGACTGTGATGCAGTAGCAAGAAAACCCCAGAGTAAAATAAAACCAAGTCCTTACATTTTCTTTATACAATTAATAACTTTATTTACCTTACACGAATAACATCGACTTAGCGTCTCTAAAATATAGCATATAGAATAATATACGTACAAGGGCGGAACTAGCTTTCAGGAGACGGGGGATTGATATTTGAGTGAAGGCGTGCCGAAGGCAGGCGCGGGTGCTAGGGTGGGTCGGGGCATGCCCCGCCTACCACTGGATAACATTCGGTTAGCGGTGTGTAGTCACAGGAGAAATCCGCCAGTTTCTATCAGGCTTGTAGACTGTTTTTTTTATTTTGGCCCCATTTTACTAGTATCATAACATTAGTCAGTGGCTGAACGGGGGGTTGCAACCAACTCCCAACTCCGGCCCTCTAGACGCGCCACTGACGTGTGTAAGGTTTACGTTGCTTATTTCAACTATATCTATTTCTGTTAGCTATTCTCTATACTAATGTCTTATAGACCCCAGCGTCGCTCCTCGTTGTCGCTCCTCGTCGCGTGCTGCCACGGCTCGGCTCGTGTTGATAGAAGCATGGCTCCTCGCTCATGTTGATAGAAGCGTGGCTCCTCGTTCGCGTTGGAATATAGCTCAATACCCCCTTATTCTTAGGTAGGCCTGTACCTTCTCGTAGTTCTCCCTCTTGTCCTCGGCGCTGCTGACCAGGGTTCGTGGGCGACTCTCTGCGACGATGGCTGGCTCTTTGCTCGTGGCTGAATCTCCCTCGGTGAATTGCTCTCTCGAGCTCGTGGCCGAAAACTGACGATCTTACGGTCGGATCGTGGCTGCTATATAGCAGCCTGCTGGGACGTAGGAGCCTGACAGTACCACCCTGGCCTAACTCCTGCCGATGTTGCTCAGGTGCCTGGGCGGTGTCACCCCCCCCCTCTTGTCCGGCACGTGCGCGGGTGATGCCATGCACCCGCCTTGTCCGGCACGTGCGCGAGCGGTGCACCCCCCCCCGTCCGGCACGTGCACGGGTGGTGCAACCTCCGGCTTCACAACATCTAGGAGATGTTAGTCCCCTTCCCGCACTTGTCTCTGTTGCCGGGGAATTTTCTATCTCTGTATAGTTATAACGTAGTGTGGCTATTGAAGTCGTGTGGTGGTATATATGACGTCGATCAGCACCCCTGAAATCTCTACATTACCTCTCGATTCGGTCGATCTTATACATGCTATCTGATCCGGCCGTTAATAGGTTAATTTGCATCCGGTTGCAATAGGTTATACGTCGCAAATCCCGATATCAATAATATTATTTCCCTTGGCAGGCAACCCTACGCATGTCTTTCACATTTGCCTCGTGGACGAGAAGGAGCAACAGCGATCTTCCCCCATTGTGCTATGATGCACAGTTTTGACATGCCGTACAACAGAGTTGCTGCGCTCTATAGTCGTGCTGGTGGCTGGAGCAATTGCTAATAATGACGGATTTTAGGAAAAAGACACGAGTTTGACAATTCTAACCTGCCCACCAGCATTGATTGGTTATTTTTATTTTCATATTTATTCGATCTGGTAAAATCACATAAAAACTACCCACACCAAATCTACCAAAAATCTTCGGTGTTGGCATTGGCCAGAGGAAACTCGGTCTACCTGCACAGGCTGGCTGCACGGTGCGCAACGTAACATATTATATAAGCACTATACTGAGTGACAGTAAGAGTCGCTTAGCCAGCTAAAGAAAATTTCCGATACACAGAACTATATATTTCAAACCTGCAGCTGTTGAACATGCTTGGGCTTATGATTCATTTGGGAACAAACAATCACAAGTTTATTGTAAATACTGAGCTGATCGACTAACCGGTACTTGAAAGTTAGCGGGTAGATCATTTAATTATTGATACCATTTCATTGATTAGTTTTTATCATTTAGGCCTTTAATCTTATGCAGCGTGTTTATTAATAGTCTTATTGGACATTTTCTATATCTCTCTCTTTCTTCCTCTTTCTCTCTCCTTTTTTCTCGCTCTCCGTCCTTCCCCTCTCCTTTTTTGGTCAATCCGCCGGTGTCAGTTGTGATTTTTTGACTTCCGTGACGCGTGATCCCTTTATAAAATTTAACGTTAGCGGGAAACCGCCATTTTCTACCCTGAATTTCGTTTGTCGATTTTTACGCCTTTTCGCATTGTGTATTGTATTACTTTAGTAGGCTATACCGAGTATATAACAAATAATACTGAGAAACGTAAATATTTACTAAGAACTGGCTGATCAGCATATTTACCGTGAACTGAGATTTGAACTTGAGACTTAAGAAAATGAAACGTAATATACCTACTGCATAACGTGTAGTAGAGACACATATGGCACGTTGTGTACTATTAGTTGTTTGTTGATTATATCATATTATCATATCAGTGTAAACCATTAGAATGATGAATGAATAAGGCGATTCGCGGCACGTGATAAGATTCTAAATGTCGCCTAGAGGCTTTCTAGTAATTCATATCGAAGAAAAAAATAAAAGCAACGGGCTCAAACAAGAGATGGCGAAAGGAGAAGAAAATGTAATGGCTGGAGAGGAACAGAGGTCGCAAAAGATATGGAGAAAGATAAGGGAGAAGGCACAAGAACGTACAGGACTTGGGGAGTTCAGAAGAGAAAGAGTAGGCTGAGTAATTAAGAGTAAGATGAGGATAAATGGGAAGAGGAGGATGAGGAGGAGAAAGTAGAGAAGGATGACGATGATGAGTGAGGAGGAACAATGAAAATAAGGAAAGAAAGAGGAAGAGGAAACGAGGAGATGGTGGAGGAGGGATAGGAGGAAGCGGATGGGGAAGAAAGAGGTGGGAAAAGAATAGAGGAAAGATGTTAAGAGGAGCTGGAGGAAGATGAAGAGGAAGAAAGGAGATGGAGGATGAGGGATAGGAGGAAGCGGATGGGGAAGGAGGAGGAGGCGAAAGAAGAAGAGTGAAGAGGAATGGGAGAAGATAAGGGAAAAGGCAGAAAAGTAAACCGGACTTAGTGGATGCAGAAGAGAAAGGAAAAGAAGGGTAAAATGAGGATGAAGAGGGGGAGGTAGAGGGGGAGGAGGAAAAAGTGGGGGTGGAGGACGAGGAAGAGCAATAGCAAGAAAAGGAGGAAGAGATATGGAGGAGGGGTCGGAGAAGGAAAAGGATGGGGAAGGAAGTTGGGGATGAGGAGGAGTTAGGAAGAAGAATAGTGGGAGGATTCTGACATCAGGAAGAGAAAGAGGTAGATGAGGAGAAGAACGAAGAAGAGGAAGAAGAATATACGTGCGTGTGTGACCTGTCTCACCACGTGAATGTAGTTAAACCTCTTAACTTAGGAACACTAATCTCCTTTGTACTTTTAGACGCACATGGAAAGCGTGTAATGGCATAGAGGGAATTGGGTAACTATAGTAACAGAACAAATACAACACTGTTCACCAACCCATACATTCTGTATTTTATCATATACAGGTAAAACCTATGATAATGGATGGAAGTCATGGAAATTGGCTGTTGTATCTATTCCTGGATGCATTTATAGAAATGCGTTTACAAAAATGGTCACAAGATCTGTAAAAAATTACGAAGTAGTTAAAAATCCCATACCAATATTTATTCAAACGTTTTGTGATTGATCGTATTTGTCGTAAGTACAATTTTATATTATTAAATGTTGGGTACTTGGTAATATTCTCAACAATCCTCACATTTATATATATATATACATTAGGTACACATACACGCCAGCCCGAGCAGGCTGCAAGACTAACGTCAATACGTCTTTAGACGTGTGACCGTTTCTTGGAGCTATGATTCCAAAAATCGATTAGTTACAACACAACTACATTGTACAACAAACACCGCTTCTTACAATTACCCCAAAACGCCCATAAGGCACCTGGTCACCTGACATTTTAGCCAGTTTCAACACAAGCATGTATATACAAGTACTAATTGGGAGAAATATCCTTAAAAGGACAGTTTAGTGTCCTACGCCAACCAGAACAATAGGCGCAGATTCTTTTGATATGCTATTCGTACAAGTATTACCACCCAGGACAAATGTACAATTAAGAGTGATATATGTTCTACACAGATTGTAAACTACTACGGTGCTGTATGCCGAATGTGCAAGCCAGCTTGACAGAAATTAAAAGTTAAAAATGTTGTGTTGTAAATGCAGCGCATCATTTACTACGACGAACAATCAGCAACACCTTACTACAGGGCATGAAATTAGCCAAAATGTGAACAGGCCCACCCAAAAGTTTAAACAGGGCCTTAGACAAATTGAACAGGCCCTTACAAGTTTAAATAGGCTCTTAATTTTGTTCAATTCATTCCATTATTAATAAAAGTATTAGCTTTGTGTTTATTAGGCATACTCGTAGTATTTCAGTATTTCATTGCTATCAGTGGAGTTCTACTTGTTTGACAGGAAGTGCTGGAACATGATTTACTTAATTAGTAGTCACTAAGTAAAAACTAGTCCGGAAATTGGTAAATATTGTTGATATAAAGGCAAGATAGGCAAAATTTTAAATAGGCCAAGTGGACTGATTATATGGTGGTTGAACTGGCGGTTTAGAGGGTTGAACCAGCGGCCGCGAGCAAAATAGCACTAATTTTGTGCTCTGTTACTATATACAGGCTTACCACAGGAATGAATTTAAGAGGGATTGTGTAGACATTACCTGGCTGGAGGACAAAGTAACCCAGAGCTTGACATTGAAATTGAAAGCAGCACAGTCACCAGAAAAGCAATTTTAGAGGTTATAGCTACATTGTATGACATATTCTGGATTGAAATCTCCTTTAAATTAGCTCCACATCGTATTTTATCGGTAATGGCAACGGCATTCAGCACCCATTCAAACTAAGCATTTACATTGATCAGCGGCAATATTGTTTTAATACAGTCAGCTTTCGATGGTTATAAATTGTAAGGTAATGTATGAATTTGGTCATTTTAACTTGACGTACCAATGAACAGACATGAGCTGTACCACTCTACTTTGTTTTCCCCCTCATAATTTAGAGGCATTAGGACTTCATGCCACTTTAATATCATGCGGAAAAAAATTGGAAGTCTTGTCCAATTCATAAAATCTCCCAACTAGAAAGGTACAGGCACACATTACCTCAGCATAGCTAGAAAACACTTGTGAACTGACTGTACAGCGGAGAACTCAACGACAACGTCATCATGCACGAATAGAAAATGCACAGCTTTCATTGGCTAATAAAATCCACTCCAGCAATCCAACCTGGGATGCTCTAAGAAAATAAGTAAACGTGAATCTCTGCACACAGAATGTCCTCCTCAGGACTCTCTCACTGAGAGGTTGAAACACTTGAGTAATGCAATACGGCGTCATAGCCGCGCTCGCTCGGAATTGTCTCCTCAGGCACTCGTAAGCATCACATGCGAGCACTTCGCTCTGTCTCCATGAGACATTCCCTGACGAGAATGCGTGCGTGAACTATCCCCCGCTTGAGTCGTTCTGCGGAGGTGCGGCTGCCGGCGTACGTTGGTCGGATGTCCTTGCCCATGTCCTCTATAACAGCCAGCAGCTGTGCGTACTTGCTTTGCGGCTGCTGGGGCTGATGCAGCCTCTGCTGGATGTTATGCTGAACGTGTTGTTGCTGTAGTCAAAGTGAGAAATATTATAATACAGGGGTAGAAACAAGGACAATATGCAAGTTAGCCCGAAGGGCTAGTAAGGTAAGGTTTGTACTAGCCCTTCTAGTTTTCAACTAGCCCTTAAAAGCATGATGTTGATAGTGGTTGCACGGGAAAATTGTTGATCTCACGAATGCTCCGAGATGCTTTGTGAGGGTATTGTGGACTGAATTTGAATGCTCACAAACCGCAATTAAATTCCCATTAATCATACACTGATATATCCTAAAACAGGCGGAATCACGAAACCTGGTCTGGAATTGTTTAATTGCCCGACGGGCAAGCCAGCCTGGCCTTTAACTATCCCTTCCAAACAATTACTAGTCCCGGGCTAGCGGGCTAGCGGCTAATTTGACCCCTTATAATATATAAATTATAATGCATGTATACATTTACACCTGATGCAAAAAACAACGCCGAATCAATGTAGCTAAAGTTATCTCGTCCTTTTCAAATATTTAAAATGGTTATATTCAAGCACCATTATTACAACTAGTATAAACAATTATAGCACTGCTTTACACACACATGTATGTACATTTCTAGCACTACCTATGTCACCTTTTGCTCTGCCACGCCTCGTGTGGCAGAGCTACAATAGATGTACATAGCTAGAACAGCATACTTGATTAGATTACCTGCTGCTGCTGTTGTTGTTGTTGTTGTTGCTGCTGCTGCTGCGGAGTAGATGACCGGGTTTCCGCATCAGCACTCCGTGGTGTGCCGGGGTTACTAATCTGTGGGGTGCCAGGATTGCTTATTTGCAGAGAGTCGACAGAATCCTCATTCATCTTCTCCATGTTTCAGATAAGAGCTGCAGACATATAAGGGTGTTGTGAGATATTGTGACATGTATTATTATGGATTGAGACGTGCTGCCATCGGGTGGTCATCTTTGTAACTTTTGCAATGTTCTGTTGTTTTGAGGGTAGAAATAAAGCGTGGCGGCAGTGGTAGACCTGCCTCGAACCTAAATAGAAATTGAGCCTCCGTTGCCTAACATGATGGATTCTTACAAAACCTAACAGGTGTATAGCAATGCATTTATGTTGTTTTTATAGATTACATTGAATGTTATCAGACATTAAGGATACAGTCCAGGTTACAGACAG